ACTATTAGAAAATATTTGCATGAGGCCAGCCAACTTTAGAAAAAGTTGTGCAAGGGTGCTCTCACTTCTGCGGATGGACTTTTTTTGTCTGAGAATGGAGATATTGAAATAAAGTCAGTCCGAAATAACTTGCTGGGAACATCCTGAGTGAGTTTGGCATGATGTAACAGCCGTATGAAAGGGGAAACTGCTGTCTTAGCCTTATCTGATCCACTTAGACAAGTAATACCATGTTATAAACCTACACCGTCCTGACGGCTCGATAAGGGGCTGCATTTTAAGTCTATCGCACAGAGCTTATCACCGTTTAAGAGATCGTTCTGCATGAGGCTCAAATAATTCACCACAAAAATGATAAAATAAAATTCTCTGTCATTAAAATGAGAGATAACGTGGAAACAATGTGATTAGATGAAGAGAAAAGAAGGCATGACAAGTTTATCAGTTTGCCCAACACAGAGGACAAAGGGGGAGAGTCAGTGCTGTTTTGTGGAGGGACAGACCCAGCTTCATTCAATCATGACAGGCCTCCTCTCTGACAATGTTTAAAACCAGGTTAAAAACAGTTCTGTTTAGCTGTGCATACAACTGAGGGATTTTATATTTTTATCTTTCTTTATAATGTACTGTGATTATTTATGATTTTAATGCTTTCTTGTTTTGTTCAGCACTTTGAATTGCCTTGTGTATGAATTGTGCTATACAAATAAACTTGCCTTGCCTTAATTCAATTTGGGGAAAAAATGCTTTTCATTCATTCATTTTCAACCCCTTTATTAGTCCAATTCTGGTCCCTCGCTGATCCTCCTGTAGGAGGTGAGTCCATAGGAAGATGGCTTCTGATCCGTTAGCGATGACACAGCCTTGGTCTTTCAACGGGGGCTTCATGCAACGTGGGGTGAAGTGTCTTGCCCAAGGACACATTGACAGTGGACTTAGTGGGAGCAGTTGGAGTAGATCTTATGGGGGGATCGAACCCACGACCTTCAGGCTCAAAGGCCAATGCTCTACCAACTGAGCCACTGTCACCCCATAAAAAAATATTTTGCTTTAATAATAGTAATAATAATAATAATAATACAAGCGCTTTCTTGGACACTCAAAGACGCTTTACATTTAATTTTTCTTTCACTCCATACACGGTGGTGATAAAATACTACTGGTGCCACAGCTGCCCAGGGGCACAATGGCAGAAGTGAAGAAACCTGTATGTGCCATCTGCCCCTCCCTCCACCATCAACCATTCATTCACACACCAGACTCCTTCTAATGTGGGTGGAGTGTCTTGTCTAAGGACACAACAACAGTTTTGCCGCCCCACTGTGGCACCTGGTGTTCCCAGAGGTCTCCCATCACAGTATTAATCAAATCCTCCCCTTCTTAGCTTCAGAGGTCTGACTGGCTTTTACATACAGGTAGCATTACATTACATTATGAAGGTGTTTTGAACAAATTCTTATCATATAGGCTGAGTATTGTAGACTGATTAACAGATTAATATTGTTGAAAAATTATTATTGGAAAGGGTCCAGGGGCCTGAGAGAAAGCTGAAAAGCCCAGAGTTTACCCAGGTCTGGTCTATAGAGAGATGCCCTGTCATAAAGCCATCTGCTCTATACCTTTAGTGATAACTGTCACTGTCACTTTTTGGGCTTGTCAATGGATAAAAAAATAGCAAAAATCATTGACTTGGGCATAGAAGTCAAATTCCATGTGAAAAGTACACGCCGTCAATGGAATTCAAACAGAAGTACAATACCGGAGTTTACAATCAATACCACGCTTTCGCAAACTGTAGCACACGGAGGTAAAGGTTAAGGACGCAAATAAAAGCCACAGGACTGGAATTTTTCAAGGGAAATATAATAAATGCAGGCATTTAGTCAACTATTGTTAACTATACACTCTTGGATGGATTCCTATTTCTTTCTATTATTGTCTCAACAATATTTATTCATTTAATAGTTTATTTGAAGAGGGACGATACACATTAATCAACATTGCTGTAAATGTGTCAGTATTAGCTAACAGCTAGTTTCCAACTGTAGTGATGTTTTGTATTAGAATATGGCATTAATAATTCCAATTCAAATAGACTATAACACAACATTATAACAAAACTAATAGTGCTCTTATCTACTCAACAGTCGATACAAATCATTTAATCTAAGTGACCTTGAATGAACCAGGAAAGTCCCACGGGTAGTTGAGAATCTAGCCATAAAGAAGCTAATATACATAATTTTTAGTTGCGGAGAAACTAGAACACCCAGAAAAAATTTGAAGGCAGGGGGAGAACATGCAAATGCAGCCCAGAAAACCCCCTGGGTCAACCGTGATCATTCTGGCTGAGAGGTGAGACTAGTGTCAACCACTATGAAAAATAAATGAATAAACATTTACTTCCTTGTTTGGATGGGCATGCCATAAGATAGAGCAGTTCTGTTGGAAACCTTCAGCGACACAGCTGCTAATAGTCCCAGTCCCACATGTGAACAATTTGCTAGAGAAAATAAATGGATATTTAACAAAATTCGGACAATATCCCACCCAAATGAAAATAGCCAAAGTTATTCCTGCATTCAAGTTGGGCGATAAACACTGCTTCACAAACTGTGTGTGTGTGGCCTGGGTATGGGTCATTGTTTATAAAGAATTTTACTTATAATACATTTCAAATGTCAAGATTGTAAAAGACTTTATTATATGACTTGGATCGTACGTGTGCTCTGATTGGCTGATATGCGGTCTGATATTTTCCCATCTCGGACCGTTACCATGACAATTGGTCAGCAGCGCGTATCAGATTTGATATATTTCCTCGGTAAAAAAGAAATAATGAGCGACGAGGGGGGCATTCTATCATCCGGACGAGTTCGAAGAGCCAGAGGAAGTAATAACAGCAAATAACGACAAATACACAACTCCTAACAGTCAAGAAGAGATTGACAACTTCATTACAGACCAGAAAGATAAAAACACGATTAGGAAAACCAAGTCGGACATGAACATACTTCACAAATATCTAAAAATCATTGGTAAAGACACAGAAGAGATTGAGAACTTACAGCGGGCGCCTCAATCATCTGATAAGTTCTCCATGTCACGATTTGACAGTTTGGTTGCATGTGTTATGGCTAGCTGAAACCGATCGTTATTTGCAGAAATTAAAGTCATATTAAAGTCATATAATAAAACATTTTTTAACCTCGCTTGCTCAGTCTGTACAGAGAAATATAAGACCTTGGTCTTTTTGCACAGACCTCGCCACGGCTCGGTCTGTACATTAAGGCCGCGGTCTGATATTTCTCTGTACAGACCTTGCGCTCATTTAATAAGCCGTTATTATTGTAAATATGTGCAAATGGGATTGGAGCTACTCCTTTTGAGTTCTGTTTTGAGCACTATCACTGTGTTTATCATGTACAGTACAGACCAGTGGACACACTTTCTCATTCAATGAGTGTCCTTTCTTTTCATGACTATTGACTGTAGATTCACACCCAGGCTGAGTGAGGGCTATTTGACCAATAAGGAGAGTGGTAAGGAGAGTCACCGGACCTGAACCCAATCCAGATGGTTTTGGGGTGAGATGGACCACAGTGAAGGGGAAAGGGCCAACAAGTGCTCAGCATCTCTGGAAACTGCTTCAAGACTGTTGGAAGACCATTTCAGGTCACTACCTCTTGAAGCTCATCAAGAGAATGCCAAGAGTGTGTGAAGCAGTAATCAGAGCAAAAGGTGTTACTTTGAAGAACCCAGAATATGAGACATATTTTCAGTTGTTTCACACTTTCTGTTTTTTAGTACTTACATAATTCCACATGAGTTAATTCATAGTTTTGTTGATGCCTGTATTTGCATGGGGCAAAGAGGTGTATGGTCAGAGACTAGTGTTTGGGGCCTGTGTCATGTTTCTGTTTATTGTATGTTGTATAAGGGTAAGCTTCCTCCATCCCCTTTTCAAGTCAAATGCTTGTGAATTGATATTGACTGTGTTTTTTTTTCTTTGCTTGAAATGAATTAACAAACAATAAAAGAGTGAAACCTTGATAGACCTTGCACTTGGTACTGCTTTGACCAGCAAGACAACATCACAGGCAAAGAAAGAAGAGCTCTAAACAAGGTGCTACACTCCGAAAGAGGACTGTGAGCTGCGAGACCAGAAAGAGACCAGAGAGACCATGAGAGACCAGAGAGAGGTGCTCCACTCTGAACGATGACTGTGATTCTTTATGAATCCAAACTCTTAAATTTAGCTCTTAAAATAATAAATTACTCTTCTGGCTCCTGGAAAAGCCATGTTCCAACTTCTTCCCTCTGGCAAAAATTTCATTTCATTACATATAGTTTTCTGATATTTGCATATAGTTTCTTTCCACAAACTGAACAAAACGGAAGATCTTTTAAACTCTGGAAACTTTCTCTACAGCAATGCAAGCAGCTGGCTAACCAAAATTACTCTCTGTGCAAACAGAAAGGGGTAAACACAGGGCGTTTCAATGGGACTATCAATACTCACAGCTGAACAATCGATATTGTATCTCATTTTTCAACACTTCATTTTCAAGATTCGACATGTGAATCAATCCCTGTAGCTTCAGAAAGGGCTGTGTGGCTGCAGGTTTTCATTCCTACCAAGCACAACAGTTTGAAAGCCCTTTTATTCAATTTATGTTATTAATTTAATGTATTTATTTGTATCTTTATTGGAAGTATCAAGAACGAAAGTGACAAATATTGCAACATACGGAAACAATGCAAATCAAGATTTACATGAATTTCATAAAGATAAGGAATAGATGGAGGTAGGGAGGGAAGCTATTTCATCATATTTAATGCATTTTGTGGTGTTGTGGGTGTGTGTGTGTGTGAGTGTGTGTAGGTCACTTATTGCCGGATATTATCATAGAAGTGTGAGGAAATGTAGTCATTGTGGTGTGTAACAGTTGTGACAGCCCTGGTCATAAGAGAGAGGGTGACCTGTTGGAGGTACTCACAACATAGCAGGGCTCGCAGTAGGCCTTCTTGTCTACGGCGTAGAAGGGTTTTCCACGCAGTTTGCTGCTACAGGTCATACACACGAAGCAGTCCACATGGAAGACCTGGTCCATGGCCGTGCAGCCGGTGCCCTCTCCCACCACGTTATCCCCGCAGCTGGCACAACGCCCTGGGGACACGCAACAGCCAGTCAGTCAGCCCAGATGGAGCAAACAAACAAACACACAAACTAAGCTTTGGTTTGAGAAGTTCATTATCAATACCTCATAAAGATACATTTACTTGTTCAAAACTCACTGCAATTCCATGGATATGTAGGTTGGCCTTAACCTTGCCTGCAAGCTGAATTCTCGCGGTATTTGTGAGTTCACAAACACTCGAGAATACATCTTGCCCCGCCCCGCCAACCCTTTTCGAGTAGAACATCTAGGTGTTCAAGCCAATCACGCGCCAGTCTGGGGGTTTAGGGCGGGATATCCGGGTTTGACAAAAGCAAGAAGTGCTGGGCCGAAGCAAAACAAACATGGCTACGCAGGAGGACGGACGCGTAGCTGAGGCTATCAAGTCAGTTTTAGCAGAATCTCCAATTTCTTTTTTGAAAGATGAACAGCAAAAGGCGCTTTGTGCATTTCTGGTAGGGTTGGGCGATATTTTTTTAGTACCGGTATACCGGTATAAGTAAATTAAATGATAAGAAAATGCCTTATACCGGTGAAAACAATCATTTAACACTGAAAACGGCAAGCGGAAGACACGTTTGTGTGCGGCGCACTTTGATGACGCATCTGCGCGGCACGTGTAGCAGAGCGGCGTGCAGGGACAACAACAACAGAGCAGAGAGCAAACATGGCTGAGGGCGGCGGTGAAGACCATGGTGAAGACATGCAGATTGTAGAAGACATTGCGCCAAAATGCGGAGCTACCTCAAACATATGGGAGTAGTTTGGGAACTAGATAAAAAGAAGCAATTGTGTGTAACTATCGACAGTGGATCTAATGTTGTGAAAGCAGCTGCCCTAAACAACTGGACTCGAGTGGCTTGCTTCGGACACTCTCTCTCTCTCTCTCTCATAGTGCCATTGGTAAGCTTTATTTACTGTTTACTGTCATTCATTTTACTTCAATGCATGTGTTTGTCTACATTGCAATATAATTACAAATAAGTTATAATTACATAATCATAGAAACGCAAAAGGATACAAAAAATATATACAGTATTTGATCATTTTGACTATATTGGGATTAGGAAACATAAGCCAAGTGATCAAATAATTATTTGATAATGCTACACTTTTTATATTACAAAGGACAAACTTTTATATATTTTACAAATTACAAATGTTCACCTTTATTACATGTTGCCTGCAATTTTCAGTATGTACAAAACAGAATTCTCTACAATTCAGTTTTGTTAATACGTTTTATATGCAATAGCTGTATTACACATTTTGCTGCCAATAAATCAGTAAATGCACTTTGAGGCAAGTGTGTTTAAAATTATCAGTGCTAAGTTTTTATAGCTTTTATATGAGGCTTTGTTAAAATTATCATATCGTCATATCGTGATACATACCAACAAAAATCGTGATACATGCTGAGGCCCATATCGCCCAACCCTAATTTCTGGACGGCAAAGATGTTACCGGGATTGGTTTAAGTCAAACCTTGGTAGGCGGGCACACAGCGTCACTTCGCCCAATCAGCTTGAAGTATTCTGCTGCTTATCCCTCCTTTCCCCAAAAGGATTCTCCTGCAGAAGTCCCAGATTGATATTGTGGAGAACGCATTAGAGTTCTACACAATCATCAGTCTGGCTCTTGCCAGGTTAGGTTGGCCTTTGCTGGTAAATATAACCCTTAAATGTTCACTCTTGAAGAAAACAATGTCAATGTTTTATTTTTTTGATGTTCAATAGTAATTTGTTTTTATGGGGGTTTTTAACTCCTTGTTCTTCTTAATTATAGGCCTCTACCGCAGGGTTGAGATTTGATTTAATTGGAGAAGTGCTTAAAACCAAGTGATAGAGATGTCCCAATTAGGTAGACTTCAGTTCCATGCTTCAAGTGCTGTAGATAGTCACTCCAAAGTGATCCACCATGGTTGAGGAAACCATTCAAGGGATAAGGAGGAACATTGTATCAAATTGAGGATGATTGCATAAGAGGATCAAAAACTTGAATGTAAGGGGTAAGGCCTCTCTGAACACATGATCACAAGACCAAATGCTACTTTTGATGCTGTGTTTCACGTAATTAAAGGCTTTTAAGAGGAGATGAGATGTGTGTGAGGAGGAGCAGAGACCTTTGTGTGTGAGGAGGAGCAGAGACTTCTGTGTGTGAGGAGGAGCAGAGACTTCTGTGTGTGAGGAGGAGCAGCGACTTCTGTGTGTGAGGAGGAGCAGCGACTTCTGTGTGTGAGGAGGAGCAGAGACTTCTGTGTGTGAGGAGGAGCAGCGACTTCTGTGTGTGAGGAGGAGCAGAGACTTCTGTGTGTGAGGAGGAGCAGCGACTTCTGTGTGTGAGGAGGAGCAGCGACTTCTGTGTGAGGAGGAGCAGAGACCTCTGTGTGTGAGGAGGAGCAGAGACTTCTGTGTGTGTATATTCGGACTAAACAGTCAAACAGTCAAGTCATCAAACAGCAGATTTCGTGCTCACTGTGAGTACAGTAGACTTTGGGAAAGCACAAAAGGCCCTTTTCCGACTCTGAAGAGTGTATGGAGGCGATAATAGAAATTCTATCAAAATAACACCCTTTACAATTGTTTTAAAATTCCCTATCCCATATTTCAACCTGTCACACATGTCTTTGACATCATTCATTCCAACATTTAGGAAATGATCTGGCACTATCCATGTCTTACATTGAACTCAGGCCCTTTTGAATGCATGCATTTGCCTTTTCTTCAAAAAGCTGTCGTAGGTTATGTCCAGGGAATTACTTGAATCTTGTTTTAATGCAAATTTCATGCAGCATACTTTTTGAGAGTTTGTTTCTCACCAGATTTGTGTCATAGTGTTTATGGAACATTTTAGGGAAACCAAAGAACATGGAGGTAACCTATGTAGACACAGGGAGAAAATGCAAATGCCACACAGAAAGGCCTTGTCTGGAGGTGGAATCGAACTAAGGACCTTCTTGCTATGAACATTATGAACATTAATAACATAACTTAAGAAAGATTAACCAACTCAGACTCTAAAGAGCACAGGGAACAGCCTTCTGCTGGGACTCTGAAGAGCACAGGGACTGAGTCAAAACTAAACATGGGGAGGCAGCATTGCAGATCTTCCAGAAAAGGTGCAACAGGCTTCTTCTGTCCAAATCCAGATTAAAAAAGTTCTGTTTAGTTGTGGATACAACAGAGGGATTTTATCTTCACTCTTTCTAATATACTGTGATTATTTTTATGACGTGTTTTATCAGCACTTTGAGTTGCCTTGTGTATGAACTGTGCAATACAAATAAACTTGCCTTGCCATTAGAACAAAACAAATAGATACCTGCTTCACTGCATTTGCTGTTGTCCAATAAGGGAAGTTTTGAAGCGTAAATCTCAAAAGGACCTAATCTCTACATTTCTATTTCAAAACACAAGATAAGCGAGGATTAAACATTCAAAATCCTCTTCTCTATAGTTGCAACGCAGCTCAACAAAAAGTCTGACGCGGCGACATCGTTTTCCCAAAGTCTCGATAAAAAGCAAACTTCAAAAAGTTTAAGTTACTCTTGTGTCAAAAATGATACTGGTATTGCTCGTCGAGGAGCCTGATTGCGCAGTGCGAGACAAGGCAATGCTATATCTCTAATTGAGCAAGCGATATCTTTAATTGAGTTTAAGATGTCCTCCACTCCATGCATTTTATCTTCAACCCAATTAATAACACTGTCAAATTAATTACTGCTATCTCCACAATAATAGGCTTTCAAAAAGATTTTTATTTTTGACACATCTAAGCACCGATGCCATCTCTATTTAATTAATTCTTCTATGGATCTTTTTGGATGTATTTTTTCCCTCTTTCTGCTACATCTAAAGACTGATTTGCCGGTGATTGACACAGGCTGTTGTGAAGAGAGCAGTTCAAGCATTTTAACGGAAGCAGATAGACTATCTGATCTAGCCCGTTTTACACTTGTACTGTGCGTTTTTCGAATCAAAAACTCAAATGATGCGTGTCAGGTATCAGAGAATAACTTTTATATGCGATGAGATGCCTGCGTGACTGGGATGCTTGCTAATGTTTTTCTAATCTAACATCACTCATTATCTTATCCGCCGAGATGGAGGAAACTTGTTCACAGAATCGCTAGACAACAACTTTTCCAGCAACGCAGACTTGACACGGAAAGCGGTGCTCGTGGCTGTCTATCTGTGTTGTACAAAGAAAGTAGTGATTTTTAAGCCTCTTTTGTTCATTTTCTACACAGAGACTGGGGTCCATTTGTGTAATTGGCATGGTGAGGCAAGTTTATTTGTATTGCACAGTTCATGCATAAGGCAACCCCAAGTGCTTGACAAAACAAGACAATAAATCAAAATCATAAAGTATAGTATATTAAAATATTGAAGATACAATCCTTCAGTTGTATGCACAGCTAAACAGAACTGTTTTTAACCAGGATTTGAACATTGTCAGAGAAGAAGCCTATCTCACAGGCCGAGGCAGAGGGGACTACGGATGGAGAGTAGCATGATGGTAAATTTGTATTGTATGGTGTATCACCCAAACTATTATCACACAGGATGGACTGTGAAAAATGAAGAAAAGCAAAATATGGCACCTTTAATGTAAACTACACAATGTCCCTTGAATAAACAAACTTCTATTTCATTCTAAAACACAGTATGATAAAGCTGTTCCCTTTTCTCTAGTTAATCTCTGATTTGTGTCTTCCTTCCATCTCCCTTATTTCTCTCTGCTCTCTCGCTCTTGTCTCTCTCTGGTTTCTCTCTCTGTTCTCTCTCCATCTCTTTCTCTGTCTCTCTCTTTCTTGTCGGCGCATTGGTCTCTGCCGGATTGTTACTCGCCTTGAATCCGACACAAGTTTCCTGACATCTCGTGCTCCCGTAACATCTGTACGCACACCTCAATTACCAGCGCGTTACCGTCAGCGCGGGAGGCAGATTAAACAAAGGCTTGTCTCATGGGGCTCGTGGGGGGGTGTGTG